TGGGAGTACTTTCCAAACTATGGTACATGGAAGTAGAGCCCAAGAAAATAGAAGTCTTACTGGGCAGAGAAACAGAAATCAGAATTCAAAACTCCCAAATTCATTCATTCTTTTCTCTATCATGGTGCTGGTGATCACACTCAAGGCCTCATGCATGTTAGGCAAGTGCTGTATGGAAGAACTACATCTCCGCTCTGATGCTCAAGTTCTATCCACAGTTTGCTGACCACCAGGCATTCAGTTGAGACCCTAGAAAGTTCAATGGCACTATACCCCACAAATAAAAGCTACTCTAAATCCTTCCTACAAAAGCTCAATGATCCATGTTTCAGCAGAATCTAGCTGGGTCAACAGAAAGTTAGTTCCTTATCATAACAAAACAATACTTTTTAGACAATGACAGCAGAATATATATTCTCAAACATTTAACAATGTTTGGGAACACAATAAAAAAAATCACAGGACATACAAAAAAGGAAATTTTCAATTGGAAACTACATAGATGTTAGAATTAGCAGATGAGGATGTAAAATAATTTTTGCAAATATGTACAAGAATTTAAGGGAAAAGATGGGCATCATGAATGAATATATTGGAAATCTCACCAGAGAAATTAATGAATAAGCTTAACAGCAGACTGAACACTACATAAAAAAGAACCAGTGAACTTGAAGAGAGGTGAAAGAAACTATGCAAACTAAGCACAGGGAAAAAAAAAAGTTTGAAAAAAATGAACAAGTCTCAATAAACTATGGGATGATGACAAGTGGTCCAAATATGTGAATTTGGAATATCAAAAAGTGGTAACAAATTAAGGAAGAAAAATATATGAATAAAATACAAAAATATTTCCAAATATGATGAAAAATAACAATTTTTAGATCCAAATAGTTCAATAAACTGCAAGAAAATAATTCCTAGGTCCATCGTGGTCAAATTGCTAAAAACAAAAGATCTTAGAGCATCAGAATAAAAAGATACATATACATTACAGTAAACATGACTCACAAAAAAAGATAATTCAAAGCGGAAGAGAATAGAACAAAGTCTTAGTCCATTTGGGCTGTATAACAAAATACTACTTGGGCTTATGAACAACATAAATTTATTTCTCACAGCTCTGGAGGCCAGGAAATCCAAGCTCAAGGGGCTGGCAGACTTGTTTTTTGGTGAATATATTTTTTGAAATATTATATATAAAATATCACAAAATTAATTTAAGAGTAGACTGTGATAAGAAAGCATACTATAACCTCTAGAGGTTACCAATGAACACAAAAATAGGACAAAGAAAAAAGCTATAAAGTCAGTAGAAGAGATAAAATGGGATACAAAGAAATACTCAGTACAAAAGGAAGATAAAGAAACAACAACCAAATGGAATAGAAAACAGTAAGATGGTAGACTTATGTCTAATCATAGTTACATACATTTAAATGACTATGAACTCAAATTAAATAGCAGAGATTGCAGATCCAACTACTTACTAATAAAGTTACCTTCTGGCAGTCAAATACATAAAGTGCATTCAACAGGTGATAGTAGCTACTGATAGTAGCAAATTCCCAAAACTAGGTGCAAATGTGTGAAATGACTTGAATACCACCTACGAGGAACTACAAAATATCTATCAGGAAGATCTGAAACATGAGAGAAGCTAATAGTTAACATTAATTGACTCTTCATTAACTTTAATCTTCAAAATGACTACATGATGAAAGTACCTCCTCATACCTATTTTATAAGGGAGAAGACTAAGGCCTAGAGAGGTTAGCTAAGTGGCCAGAATCACATGACAGTGATACTGAATCCATGGAAGATACTATATCCACAGAAAGGAGGTGTCCAGCAATAGCAGGAGGCAGAGTCAGTGGGCAGGTCTCCCTTCTGGCCACTGGATTGTACCTGACCAGCAGAAACAGTCATGCATCATTCTAGCAGGTGTGGGGGAAAGGTGGGCCCATCTCACTTTTGAACATGAGGAAACTATCCATCAAGATTTTTTCAACAAACTCCTCTTGCTTTATAGCTCCAGGCCTCATTAAACAACCTCTACATTCTGACTCTGTTGGCAAAGTAAGAAGGCCCTAATTAAGGCATGCAAAAGTTCTAGGCCCTCTTGCAGTTACCACTATCATTAAATAAGTAAACTGGCATCTGGTTTGTTTCAGAGTCTGCTAAATTTATTAAGCATGACTCAGTTCCTGCTGAGTTTTCTCACCTCTGGATGCAGTCTGAAAAAAGGACTTTAAGTCTTGTAGATTTTTAGAAGAAAGTACTGGATTAGGATGATTTCATCAAGGTTAAATTCTCAAAGGAAGATGAATAAATAGTCTGGGGGTCTGAGTGGTCACTTGGGCCAACTAGTCATTCATCTGTACTGTCCTGTCCTAACTACAATAAGAGGAGTCAAGAAGAAAGATTATAATAAACATATAAGAAAGAATTCAAGAATGCTGTAGGGCACATATAAAGTAGTCAAAAAGATGAAATCCCTAATCATTAAATTTAACCAAATTATTTACCAAAGAACATTCCTCCAGGGAGGCTGCTTCATTTCTCCATTTCTTCCAATGACTGATATATACATAGATCTGAGAGTTATCATAAACTAAACTACCTTCATTCTTTCTGGAAGGAATATACTTGATAAATAGCACCTATTATTAGAGTGTAAATGAAACATTCTGTTTGCTTAGTTAAGTCAATATTCAATGTTTTTCCTTATTGCCAAGAACTCGCTCGGGTGAGGGACATAAGTCATGATCAACTCAAGTTACATAATGTCTTTAAAAACTCAGGAAGATGTCCAGTGATAGTGATGAGAGAGATGGCTAAGAGTTGTGTAGAGACTAGCATGTGGGAGGCACTATTCTAGGTGCTATCTCTATATTTTCTCATTTAAATATCTTAGCAACCTATGTGGTAGGTTACTGTTATCATCATCCTAATTTAGAGGGAAGGAAACTGAGACACAAAGAAGTTAGGTGATTTCCCCAAAGGTCACATGGCTGATAAGTGGTAGGCCTGGGTTTTGACTTATATATTGAGGTCCAGAATCCATGTTCTTAACCACATACTTTTATACGTTATATATAAAAATTACACTGAGATTGCCAGAGCCAAAAAGTGGGTGAGATCTTTAGGGAAAAAAAAATCTATTGACTAACAGTATACTTTTCTATCTCAGCTCATTATCCTAAGTTATAATCAACACCTCCTGAGCAACAATGTCCCATTGAGACCAAAACAACAGAGGAGAGTATAGGCTGTAAGAACAGGTAGCCAGCTGGACTTGGACTCCCACTCTACTGCTTCCTACCTGGGGACACTTGGCATGCTATTTCACATAGCAGGCACAAGCAGGGAGGGTGAAGGGTGAATTCCTCCCCCCACACTCCCAGTGACCATGCCTGTGAAGCACCCCTTCTGTGAAGACTGTCCTTTATCCCAACACCCAGAGTTTACAGTGGGTACCACACTGCTTCTGGCCAAGGAAACTGGCCCAGTCAGGCAGTGGAGATGAACTGAGGAAACCTCAGCATCTCACTTCCAGGTGGAGGGATGGGCACAACACGCCACCTGAGCCCAGTCACCAGGGCCCTTTTCTAGCAGAAGCAGAGAGGATGGGGTTTTTCTTCTCTAGTCACAAAGCTATGAGGATTTGGAGCTAGCTGTGGCCTCAGTACTGGTGTGATTGACAGAATGAAGCCTCCATATGGAGAGGCCAAGAGATAGGATACAAAGTCCCTGGTTCTAGTCTTTCCTTCCCCACTCTGAGATTATCGAACACATTAGCCAATTAATTAACCACCTTGGGAAGAGAAACTGAATTTATCTGGATTTCTATTATTTTCAACTAGATGATTACAAAATTTAACTTTGAAACTCATGTTCCTCATCTGCAAAGTGAGGTGAATAAAAGAGCCCTTCCTGCCCAGGAAGTTCTGATAAGGAAATGAGATGAGTGTGTGAAATACTTTGGCAGTGTACCTTATGCACAGGAAGGGCTTCATGGCCATTAGCAGACAGCTAACAATAATGTCTACAGTAGCATTTGTTTATCATCAGACTGTTGCCAAAGATCCTGGAGTCCTTCTTGCCTCAGTCACATTAATGTCATAGCAAGTACTGTTGGTTGTAACTTCAAACTATTTACAAACCAGCCACTTCTCATAATCTCCACTACCCCCCCAAAAGGATTCAGGTAGGGACTTGTACTGCAACAGTTCCCTAGCAATCTCTCTCTTCTTTTGACAGTCTGTTATTCACGTAGCTGTCAGGATGATCCCATCCCATGAAAGTAGAAGTCTGAGAAAGGAATATGCTACAGTGGCATCTCTTCTCACTAAGGTACATGTCAGAGCTGTCCTTGTGCAGGGCTTTCCTACTCCAGTTCCATGCTCCCAGCTCCTTGATTTTCCTCCAACAAACACCAGGTTCCCCCTTCCTTTCACAAAATTCTTCAGGCTTCACCCCCTCCCTTCCCCTAGCTTTGTGAGGCCACCACTGAACACCTATTTAAAACTTCACATCCACTTCCATCCCAGCTCTGTTTCCCTCTATGTTATATACCACCATCTGACATACAGTATCTAGTGTCCTAATGTTTTAATTGTCTGTCTAGAATGAAGTTCCATGAGAGCAAGTGATTTTTTTTTAGAGAGAGAGAGAGAAAGAGAGAAAGAATTTTTAATATTTATTTTTTAGTTTTCGGTGGACACAACATCTTTGTTTGTATGTGGTACTGAGGATCAAACCCGGGCCACACGCATGCCAGGCGAGCATGCTACCACTTGAGCCACATCCCCAGCCCCAGAGAGCACGTGATTTTGAGTGCTTTGTTTACTATTGGCACAGAGCCGTCACACAGTAAATATTTGCTGAGTGACTGAATGAATATAGCTTCAATCCTCTTTCTCAAGGTTAAGAAGCAAACATGGGCTGCAGCAGAAAAAGGTGGGGAGTAGAAGTCTTATTATGAAATTTTTTGTACTTACTTGGCACAGCGTACCCAGTGTGTATGTCGGTACAAGGAATATAAGAAGCGCTGACGGAACATGTTCCATACTTTGATGGATTTATCTTCAGAAGCTGTAACTAGAAACTGGCCATCTGATGAAAAGTCCACACTTCTAACTGGAGCTGTATGAGCTCTAAATTCTGAAGATTTCCCTTTTCTAGAAAGAGACCATTTAATATTAATAACTCATTCAACTTAATTATAATAAATATTTAATCGGTGTATAGACTTTGAAACCATACAAAACAGATTAACTCTTGTAAAAAAAATAACAGAAGTATGAGAAAATTATGTTGTGCTGTATTCTTCATAAATATTATCTAATATTGATGAGGTAACACAACTTGCAGTCCCAGTATATACCTAAGGCCTTGCTTACCTTGTAGGAGCAATCTTACATGCACGAGCAAAACAAAAGGATAACAGCAAAAATCTACATCAACACTCTGAAATTTCAATTTTTTTTTTCCTGGTATAGGGAGGCAAAAAGATAATAAATGGAAGAAGTATTTCAAGGCATTTGAAAAGAAACATAAAAATAGTTTAAAAGGATCAGGCTACATAGTATTGGAGTTATAGGTTTGGGAAATAATACTTTGTGTCAGTGTTCCTAAATTCTCAAGCCATCTTCAGATGACACTATATCCAGGACTTAACAATTTTTCCATTTAGAAAATCATATTTGTATTAATGATACATGATGGGAATATTTCCATAACTGTTTGAAAAAGATCGGGCAACAGAATTTAGTCAAACATATACATCTGTCTCGAATTTTCAAATGTTCACCTTGATGTCCCATCATCTGACCTTCACCCTGTATTTTTCTACCTTGGCTGATTAGAGCAACATCCGCCTATTTCCAAGCCAGAGGCCTGGAAGTCACTCTCAACTCCTGCCACTCCCCACTTCCTCCTATACCCAGTAAGTCAATAAATATTATTGTTAATTACCACTTCCTAAATATCCTCTGAATACCCTCTGCTTTATATCCTGGCCCTGCTTGCCTTCAGGTACATATATATCCTCAATACCCTTCATCTAGATTATTGCAAAAGCCTCTTAACTGGCCTCTCTGCTCTAATCTTCTATCCCCTCCTCCAGTCACCTACATACTGTGCTTATTACCTTGCTAAAAGTGCCACTCCAAGCAAATAAATCCCAGTGTAAACATGTCACTGGCTCCCTCCATCATAAAATGCAACACTGAGCTCTTTGGCAAGGCATCCTACCATTGCACTGAACTTTGTACTCAGAATGGTCACAGTGCTTCAAACACACCTCTGCCTTCTCAGGCAAGACTCTTTCCCTGTCCCCAGACCTCCTTGACCAAGCTGCACAGGTTCAGTTGCTCCCCATCTGCTGTAACTATTATACCTACACTATATGGAGACTTCTAAAAAATCGACCTGTTTCTGTTTACTAAGCAGTAGGTTTTTTGAGGACAAAAATGATGATCTATTTATCTCCTTAAGACCAGCACCTAGCACAATGTGGGACATTGAAAAGAACTCAATACTTTTGTTGAATTCCACTGGGAAGAATCAACACTTAAAGGTTCTTAGATTTAACCTGGCTTGCTTGTCTAGTGCCCTAGAGAAGGCAAAGGTGACTTAATTATTAATCTCTACCACCCAACATCTGATAATCCATCAGGAGTAACTGAAATCAGTATAAACAAAAATTAGGAGGGAGGGCTGGGGTTGTGGCTTAGTGGTAGAGTGCTTGTTTCACATGTGTGAGGCCCTGGGCTCAATCCTCAGCACCACATAAAAATAAATAAAATAAAATAAAGGTATTGTGACCATCTACAACTAAAAAAAAAAAAAAAGTTAAGAGGGAGCATTCAGAGACTAGTTCAGTGAGGTCTCAAGTAGATTTCCATGAACAGAAATCGAAAGTATAGTTTGGCCTGAATTCAAGCATAAATCCTGGAGATAACAAAGACAAGACTTGGCATCTGCAATGGGAAGTTACGAGATGGCCAGCTAGTACCATCAAAATCTCCCCCTACTCTAGCAGCCCATCTGCTGGCCGTCCTTCTGAAGGGCCTCTTTCTGAAGGCCCTCCTCTATGCTGCAGGCTGACCTGACCACTGCATCTTGTCTCAACAGTAAGCAAATGAGAAACAAAGATAGAAGTGCTGTGATCACAGCTGTTTTTCCTCCCTGTAAATCTGGGCTGGAGTTATGACTTACTAGGAGCAAGAAAATAGGGCAGAGGTGACACTGTGTGTTTCAGGCCTACCTTGAAAAGTCTGCAGCTTCTCCCTTTATTCTCTAGGAACTCACCTGTCATTTATAATAAATTTGAGGTCCTCCTGCTGGAGGGGGAGAACCCAAGGCACCCAGGCCAAAAGCAGCCACCAAGCCCAAAGGCCTGAGGCCCATGAGGGAGGCCTTAGACCCATCTAACCATATATTTCCAGGTTAACAAGGCTGTGTGAGTAATCTCAACATACTTCAAATGGGGCAGAAGAACCACCCAATAACCAATGAAATTGTGAGAAATGATAGTTCTTGTATATTAAGCTACTAGGCTTTAGGGATTGTTATGCAGATATAGACAACTGATCATTGATACATCAGCTTTCTTCTTGTTGCCATGATCCACCATTACTCTAACCCCACTGCAACATCATTTAGAAAGAGCAACCAGACATCTACACAAACATAATAACTGTACTTAGATTAGGTATTCCAAACTAATGATTCAGTGTGCTTTTATCTCATTTATCTATATACAGTTTGTTTAGTTTTCCTTGAATTAGCAATAGGAAATTGAGGCTATGCTGTACTGGAGATTTAAATAAAGAAGAATAAGAAAAGGCATCGAGGATATAGCTCTGTGGTAGGGCAAGGTGTATACAAGGCCCTGGGTTCAATCCCCAACATAGTAAAAAAAACCAACAACAACAACAAAACAACAACAACAACAAATAAACAAAAACAAATAGCAACAATTAAACTAGTCCTAAATCCCCAAAGTTAAGGATTTGGAACATGCTTCTCCTTTAGGACTTCAAGCCAGTCTCTCCCTCTTCTACAATATCATCCACATTATCATTTCGTCATGTCACTTCTCTTTGATAGTTTTTACTACCATCAGATTTCTCAGCATGGTGTTTCCCTTAGGTGGTGGCAGAAAAATGTGCCCACTGGCAAGGGAAAGCCCTGTGAGCTTTCCTTCATTTAGTAGTACCTAGGCCTGTTCAGTCACATGCTACAAATCAAATTCTAACACAAAAGGGTCAAGGAAAGTCCTCAAATTCTTATCCTCTAACATATTTATGGAGGGAAGTGATATGATGTGTGAGATTTGTTCTAAAAATACTTCAGAAAAAGTGGGGGGAGATGAAACAAGCTTGGCAGATAACTGTTGAAGCTGGCTGATGAGTATGGTGGGAAAGTTATGCTATTTATTTTTTCCTGTATTTTTGAAAAATTTCAAACTTAAAAATTTGAAACTTAAAAAAAAATCATGGCTTCATAATTGTTTAAAATAACTGGGCAATCAGCTATGGCTTGAAAAGTTTCTTACAGAGAGATTCGGCATAACAGGATATGACCTTAGCAAACACAATTGACACTTTTGTTAGAAATGTTTTTTAATTAAAAAATTCTGGAGCCCCAAAATAAATGATACTGATTAAAGAATAGTCCTGGCACAGAGATCCAAGACCTGAAGGGTTCATGAATGGGCATTAGGAAGTTCAAAAAACATGAACTTTTGACATACGCTGATGTATAGCTTTCTGGGGAGATAATCGAAAACTTACATCAGATTTACAAAGAGATTGCTAACAACCACCACCACCCCCAAAACACTTGAAACATATTATGCATATTTCCATATCAGAAACAATTTTCAAAAAGAAGACATGAACTAAAGAGGAAAAACTTGTATGAAATAGTTTGACTTTGAAACTAGGGCAGCACACCTGGTATGTGACCAGATTCAGTGCAAGTAGCTGGGAGTGGAGGCCTTCCCAAAGAGTGCACTGGGAGCAGCCACGTTCCAGCCTTCTTTCACATTCCTAAATCCAAAGTATATCAAGCATTTGTTTCTCTTACTTATCAGGAATCCAGAGTCTCACGGTTCTGTCCCTTGAGGCAGATGCGAGTAGGTTTCCAAGGGGAGAAAACTGCACACTGGTTACAACATCCTTATGACCCACATATCTGAAAGCTCTAGCGTTCGGCTTCAAATTCCATAGCATGAGAAACGTATCCCAAGAAGCAGTAACTATCAAGAAACAGAAGAATAAAACCACTGTTTGTTAAAATGCAAACATAGGCAGATCTCATTACAATGGGAGACACGTCTAATAACAAGGTGTCCTGGTAACAAGTGGGCAGGGGCAGGCTGCAGGGCTGAGCAGGTAACAGCAAAATTATTTTTTAAAGATACTCAAAGCTACATCATGACTATGCAAAACTGGCTGTGTCCTGTGTTACCACACAACAGAATAACTGTGCCCAGGATTAAATAAGAGCTTAGAAACTATTTACTAGAGGAAGACAGCACAACAAAACAGAGTGCTCAACACTGAGGGTCAGCTCTGTCTCTTACCCTCTGAGTAACTGGGAAGCTACCTGATTTTCCTGATGAGGGCTGCGTGTGGTTTTGGTTGTTGTTTGTTTGTTTTGTTTTGTTTCTGAGACGGTGAGATGAGATAATTTAAAAAACTATTTATTTGGAAATAATGTCACAGACAGTTTATAAGAATAACAAGTAACATAAAAAAGCCCTTTATCCAAATACTTCTGTTAAATTTTATCCTATTTGGCTTATAATTTTCCCCTTTCTCTTTGTACATGAACACTTATATGCACACACAGACAAAAAAAAAACCCATATAAATTTTTTCATGAACTATTGGGGAGTAAGTTATATAAATAATGACACCTTAATTCCTCAATGGTTTTGTGTTTTCCTAAGAATAAGGACCTATTCTTGCCTACCCATAGAACAACTGTCAGTTTAAAAAATTAATCAGATGCAATACTTTAATCTACCAACTATATCCTATTTCTGTCAATCAATCCAGAAAGCTCTTATATCTGGACAAGCTGATGTTAAAAGTCGTCTTCTACTCTGAAATTTTATGACATTTCATATTTAATAAAGAATCAATGTCACATATTAGCTCTAAGAAATTCAGAAGAAGAAATACAATTGATCAACAAATATGTGAAAAAATGTTCAATATCTCTAGCAATTAGAAAAATGCAAATCAAAACTACACTGATTAGATTGGGTAGAGAGATGTGATGGGAGGGGAAGGGAGGGGAAGGGGGGATAAGAAGGGCAGCAGAATAAAATAGACATTATTATTGCTGTATGTATATAGGTGACTGTATGACCAATGTGATTCTGCAACCTGTACAATCAGAAAAATAAGAAATTATACCCCATTTGATTCAAATGTATAAATTGTCAAGATCATTGTACTGTAATGTGTAACTAATAAAGAAAATAGGGGGCTGGGGATGTGGCTCTGGGGCTGGGGATGTGGCTCAAGCGGTATCTCGCTCGTCTGGCATGCGTGCGGCCCGGGTTCGATCCTCAGCACCACATACCAACAAAGATGTTGTGTCCGCTGAGAACTAAAAAATAAATATTAAAAAAATTCTCTCTCTCTCTCTCTCTCTCCTCTCTCACTCTCTCTTAAAAAAAATCTTTAAAAAAAAAATAGAATAAAAGAAAAAAGAAAAAAAAATAAAGTTCTGAATCAGGCCAGACTGAAATGTTTCAAAAATCAAGCTAATACTCTAATTATAGCCATGAATTTCCCTAACAAGTTGAATTTTTGATTTAAAATGCAGTAATCTTGAATTCTAGCCCAATCCTTATCTTCTAGAGAAAGCACATTCATTTAGCGTAATTGTTCAACATAGAATTTATCAAGTTCTATGTCTTCCTGCTCTTAGTTGGATGTGTTCTTTTGGTGTTCTGAATTCCATTTAGATTTGATTCTCCATTTGTACAGGTTGTTATTATTATTATTATTATTAATGTTGGCAAGTAATATGTTTAATCCCCTTGAGCAGCATAGGATGGGCATGGAACATGTAACATTTTAATAAATGTATAAGTTTTAAATAAATAAATGGGAATTAAAAAAAATTACACTGAGATTCCATCTCACTCCAGTCAGAAGAGTAATTATCAAGAACATAAGCAATAATAAATGTTGGTGAGGATGTGGGGAAAACGGTACACTCATACATTGCTGGTGGGACTGCAAATTGGTGCAACCACTAAGAAAAGCAATATGGAGATTCTGCAGAAAACTTGGAATGGAACCACCATTTGACCCAGCTATTTCACTCTTTGTTTTATAACCAAAGGACTTAAAATCAGCATACTATAGTGACACAGCAACATCAATGTTTATAGCAACACAATTCACAATAGCTAAACTGTGGAACCAACCTAGATGCCCTTCAACACATGAATGGATAAAGAAATTATGGTATATATACATAATGGAATATTACTAAGCCTTGAGGAAGAATGAAATCATGACAGTTGCTGGTAAATGGTAGGAACTGGAGAATATCATGCTAAGCGCAATAAGCCAATCCCAAAGAACCAAAAGCCAAATGTTTCTACTGATATGTAGATGCTAATTCACAATAAAGGAGGGGAGAGGCTAGGGATGAATTTTAGAGATACTTTAGACAGAGGGAGGGGGTATAGGGATAGGAATGATAGTAGAATGAATAGGACATTATTACCCTATATGCATATATGATTACATGACCTGTGTAATTCTACATCATGTACAACCAGAAGAATGAGAAGTTAAACTCCATTTATGTATGATGTGTCAAAATGCATTCTACTGTCACGTATAACTAATTAGAACAAATTTTAAAAATTTAAAAAATACATGCTGTATACATTCTGCATTGGTTTGTTTCTGAACTACACAAACACAACATGTATCAAAAAAGTTAAAAAGCTCTTAAGAGAAGGAAAATGAATGTGATCAATGGTGAAAATAAATGCCTTAGCAAGGAATGAGCAAATAAACAAATGAAAGACAGATCTATATATGATATGCATATAATTCCCCAAAAGTCCCAATAATAGGAATCAGACAATGAGAATCACTAAGTCTATAGAATGCTGAGAAAGGATATAACTTTGTAAACTACAATTAGCATCACTAGTAGAGGAGAAACAGGGTCTGGCTTTATAAGGCTACTGAAGCCCTATAAGTTTGTTAGTCAATATGTAAAGTTCACATGGACTTAGCTTAAACTTATTTCCATGTAAACAGTTAACATGAGTTTATAAATGTTAAACTACAATGCCACTTAGCAACCTTTAAAAAAACACAAAAAGTTGATGTTCCATTATAGCTCATCCAAATTATAAAATATTCAAACCAGGGTCTAAATTATCTGGGACTAATGTAGACAAAACAGGGAAACAATGAGTTATCATATGTGTCATGCTTAGTACTCTACTGAGTTTTAAGTATCATGCAGCAACAAGATATACATAAGCAAAGAATCGCAATATAGTAGGGGAGATATCGCTAATATCATACACATTCAGAGGACTTTTATGTATTATTTAGTCTTGAATAGTGGATGAGGTGATTTAAGTGGTCCTTTCTAAGGAAAGTACATCTCTGTCAAGAGCTGAGTGAAATGAAGAATGATCCCATGTGGAAAACTGAAGACAATAATGAACTTGGGAGAATGAGGAATGGTAAGGAGGCCAGAGTACCATGGTGGAAGGGAAGGGGAGAGAATAGTGGAAGGGAAGTAGCTATTTTATTCTAAGTTTAATGAGAAAGTGAATTATTTTATTCTAAGTGCAATGGAAAACCATTGTATGATACAGTTTGAAAATATTTTCATTCTGCTATTAGGAAGAGAGAGTCTTTTCAAAAAATCATGTGGGGTAAACTAGATTTTAAGAAGAAAATGAATCTTGACTTTGTATTATAAATAAAAATTACATGCTCGCCTGGCATGCGTGCGGCCCGGGTTCCATCCTCAGCACCACATACAAACAAAGATGTTGTGTCCGCCGAAAACTGAAAAATAAATATTGAAGTTCTCTCTCTCTCTCTCTCTCTCTCTCTCTCTCTCTCTCTCTCTCTCTCTGTCTCTGTCTCTTAAAAAAATGTGGTAGGTAAAACAATAAACTTTTAGAAGAGAACAAGTTATCTTCATGACCTTAGGTTAGGCAAAGACTGCTTAAGAAGAACATGAAAATTACTAATCATAGTGAAAAAAATAACAATTTGTAGAATACTAAAATAACTAAAATTATTCATTGAAAGAACTACTAACCAAGTGAAAAAGAAAGCCACAGAGATGATATATTCATCCAACATATAATAAAGTGTGGTTAGACAGAATCTACCAATCTATAAAAAAGTACATGATCCAATTGAAAAATAGGCAAAGGGCTTAAAACAGGCCTTCATAAAAAGAGGCTATCCAAATAGCCAATAAACATATGAAAAGGTGCTCAATTTCACTGGTGATCAATAAAACACAAAATCACAATGATATATTGCTACATGCTCACTCAGAATGGTCATAGTGAAAAAGATCAAAAGTAGCCATTTTATTCCTAGTTTAATGAGAAAGTGATCCTCAAACCTTGGTGGGGATGCAGAATGACTAGTACTCTCATATGACTCAACAGTTACATTTCTAGACACATAAGCAGCAGAAATTCATGTTTGGCAAAAGGCATGCACAATAACATCGGTGGCAGCACTATTCAAAACAGATCAAAACTAGAAACCAACTGTCCATCAAAACAAACTGCCTACACTCATGCTGTATAACTCCCGTATGATTAAATTTCATTTGCATGCTGTTTAAGAAGCAAAACTAACCTATGAAGTCAGAAGTAAATAAAGAGATTATTTGGACTTCTATAATGTTGCAGTTTGGATAAGTGTCCCCTAAAGGCCCACATGTTACAGGCTTGGGCACCAGCCTATGGTACTATAGTGCAGTGGTGGGACTTTTAAGATGTGGAGCCTAGGGGAAGAAAGTTAGGTTATCTGGATATGACCTTAAGGAGATATTGGGACCTCAACCCCTTCCTGTCTCTCTTTGCTTCCCAGCAGCCACAATGTGAGTAGTTCCCACCACGAAATGCTGTCTCACCACAAGTCTGAAAGTGACAGGGTCAACCAACCATGGATGAAAACCTCTGAAGCTTATGAGCTAAAATAAATTTATCCTCCTTAAAAGTTGCTT